GCAAAGTTTTTCGAAAAATCACAAGTATAAACTACCCTTATTAGGGGGTTCTTATGAATTTTTCATATGGTGGCACTGAAAACATGTTCCGTACATTCATATTCCAGCATTTCAATGCAATATAACAATTGGAAAGCTTCGGTCAGCAAAGTATTTCGAAAAATTACGAGGATAAACTACCCTTATCAGGGGGTTGTTATAAATTTTCGATATGGTGACACTGAAAAAATGTTACGATCATTCATATTCCAGCTTTTCAATGAAATATATCAATTGGATAGCCTCGGTCAGCAAAGTTTTCCGAAAAATCACAAGTATAAACTACCCTTATGAGGGGGTTGTTATAAATTTTTGGCACTTTAAACATGTTCCGAACATTCATATTCCATCTTTTCAATGAAATATATCAATTGGAAAGCCTCGGTCAGCAAAGTTTTCCGAAAAATCACAAGTATAAACTACCCTTATGAGGGGGTTGTTATGAATTTTCGATATGGTGGCACTGGAAACATGTTCCGAACATTCATATTCCATCTTTTCAAAGAAATATATCAATTGGAAAGCCTCGGTCAGCAAAGTTTTCCGAAAAATCACAAGTATAAACTACCCTTATCAGGGGGTTGTTATAAATTTTCGATATGGTGGCACTGAAAAAATGTTACGATCATTCATATTCCAGCTTTTCAATGAAATATATCAATTGGATAGCCTCGGTCAGCAAAGTTTTCCGAAAAATCACAAGTATAAACTACCCTTATGAGGGGGTTGTTATGAATTTTCGATATGTTGGCACTGAAAACATGTTCCGAACATTCATATTCCATCTTTTCAATGAAATATATCAATTGGAAAGCCTCGGTCAGCAAAGTTTTCCGAAAAATCACAAGTATAAACTACCCTTATGAGGGGGTTGTTATGAATTTTCGATATGGTGGCACTGAAAACATATTCCGAACATTCATATTCCATCTTTTCAATGAAATATATGAATTGGAAAGCCTCGGTCAGCAAAGTTTTCCGAAAAATCACAAGTATAAACTACCCCTAAATGAGGGTTGATTTGAGTTTTCTCTATGGTGGCACGTTCACTCCATCATGCATGACTCAGTTTTATAGTTTAACGTGTTTAAATATACCTCAAGGTTCTTGTCGGCAGGAATATTTTTTGGTCAGCAAATTATCCACACTCTTTGAGGTGCACTTAGAATGGTTGTCAAACAGCATAGGGGACAAGAGTCTCGAGATCATACCCGTGTGTTCACCGAACAGGCCCGACCGTTACCTAAGCGGTGGGGAGACCGAGACGTAAGCAGGCAGCTATGATGATACATTGATACAAAGTGGGCAGGCAGCTTGTCTCATGCTGTCTCTGTTTTTGCAGTACGGGGTGGGCCACCAACAATTTTCTTGATCACATTTCAACATTTTTTTTTTCGAATAAATAAGAAACATTTGATAGGCATCAAGTGATCTACTGCGACCTATCAGATAATGAAAGCGATGATTTGATTTGCAATAATTCGCTATGTCACGACGAGTCCTACATGTAAATAGCGAACCACTCATCGAAAATCATGAAACAATATGTACATATTATATGCTTATGTTTTGTATGGTTTTGTTGACGAGGACGCTCGTTTTATTCAAATTATTTTCGATAATGTTCATCTGCTTCACTAGAAATTATTATTAGTAGTTAGTAGTAGTAGTAGCAGCTTTGTTATTCAAAATGGAACACCTTATATTTTATTACATTTTTCGATTCTTCTAATTGAGCTATGATTTCGTTGATCAAGCTCAAGGTATACCTATACGTGGAATGTGAAAAATCGAGATTTTTTTTGTATATAAACTATACAATACCTAAATTGATTTGTCAAAAAGGCTTACATGTGTCCCTCTCCTAACATTCTATTTACTATCTACTGATGCTATATCGAAGACTGGAACCTTTGGCACGATAATACACTACACTGTTTTACCACTAACCAAACCAACTCAGTTTTAATCTTCTCCTGAAGATGCTAACATAGTTAGCGAAACACGTGTCGAGGCGTTAAAAAATCGGTTTGGTTAGTGGTAAAACCTCGATCGAAGGGTAAAACAGTGTAGTGTATCTACTGATGCCATTTAATTGAAACAAATACAGGGTGGATCAGATTTCAGAATTATATAAAAGTAGTACTAGTATGCCTACTAAAAAAATATATACAGGGTGATCCACGGTGGATGGCCTATTAGAAGTACCTGGAGAACGAAGAGACAGAACTTTGTGAAAATTGGGATCCTTTGATAATTGAACATTCTCTATCCGCCTTGAATATTTTCATCGATACAGTGTTGCCACTTCTATCAAAAACAACTAGCAACTTTGTTATTTCAAATGGAACACCCTGTATTTTATTGCATTTTTAGATTCTTCCTGAAGAGCTGATTTCATCAATGCATCACACTTGGGGTCTAGCAAGAATGATTACAGAGATATAGGGTGTTCAAAATCGATATTTTTCAATTTTAGGATTTTTTTGTGTCGAAACTGTTCATTATCGATCGAAACGGCTTACATGTCCCTATCTTAACTTTTGATTCACTATCTACTTGGAATTTAAATGAAAAAAATACAGGGTGCTTCAAGATTCAGAATTCTGATCACCCTGTATCTGTTCCAATTAAATGTCAGTAGATAGTGAATCAAAAGTTAAGATAGGGACATGTAAGACGTTTTGATCGATAATGAATAGTTTCGACACAAAAAATTACTGAAATTGAAAAATCTCGATTTTGAACACCCTATATCTCTGTAATAATTCCTGCTAGACCCCAAGTGTGATACATCGATGAAATCAGCTCTTCAAGAAGAATCTAGAAACGAAAAAAAATACAGGGTGTTTTATTTGAAATAACAAAGTTGCTAGTTGTTTCCGATAGAAGTAGCAACACTGTATCGATGAATATATTTAAGACGGATAGAAAATGATCAATTATCAATGCATCTCAATTTTCAGAATGTGTTGTCTTTTCGTTCTCCAGATACTTCTAATAGGCCATCCACAGTGGATCACCCTGTATATTTGAACTAAACAAAACAAATATATCACATAAAAAAACACACTCTATATAATATTCAACATAAAATGAAATTCAACCCCACTGGATGTATTTAAAAATATAAACAGTGTGCATGTCACTTCTAATGGAATCAACCCGTATATCTAACGTAACTGTTCAATTTTCAGGAGCGATAGATATATATACCAACTATGACCAAAGTGAGATAATCTTCAGTGAAAAACACTGCTCTGGTCATGGACCCACCAACATTTCCGGAAAATGATATTAGGATGCAAGATAGGTTGAAAATCACTTCGGATTCGAAATCAGGACGTAACCCTGTACCTACCTGGAAAACGAAGCAAGTTTAGGACACATGTTTATATGACCTTTATTCATCATATTATATCACAAGGAATCATCCCTTGAATTATTTCGATGTTATTTAGATACACCCTGTATAGATCATTCTCCATCCCAATATAGTTATTCAACATTTTTCCCATAGCGAAGTTCAGCAAATACCGATGGCGAGAGCACTATGTTTATTGATTTGATGTCTACCTATAATATATGTAAAACAAGAAGGCACAACTACTAGTGTTCCGTTTCGAAGTACATTAAATTGACAAATTTGACTCCAAAATAATTCTGGCACGCGCCAATATTCATAACATTCGGGCGTGTTCGGTGAACACACGGGTATGATCTCGAGACTCTAGTGCATAGGGGTAGCAGGGTAGGTCAAAAATTTAAAAAATTGCTCAAGAGTAAAGTACCCTTATTTCAGAAAATTCAGTCAAATGTTATTGAGAAAAGTTGTTAACAATTGAAAGTGATGCCTAAATATGAAAGCATGGCCTCCTGAGAGATTTTTTTTTAGTTTCTCAATTCTTTCCGTTAATGATTTCCCAATTTTTTTTTTTTTTTATATTCACCCTGAACACTTTCATGAAATAATTATGACAAAATCAGTTAAGAAAACCTGTGTTCAAATTAAAGAATATCTGTGCAATCAACTTGGATTTCAATTTTTTTAAGGAATCGCAAGCTTTAGGTTTGTTGCAATGATATTCAGCTCAACTTTAAAATTTCGCAAACCATATTTTTAACGAGGTAAAACATCATTAGATGGGAAGTTGATGTTACCAAAATGTCTTATAGTGTTTACTGTCATGCCTCATTTGTTTTGTTCCTTGGGTATTCGTGATTATTTCAAATGATATTATGGTTGTCGATTGATTTGCATGTACAGCTTTTTCATAAACATTTCAAATACAAAATGGTCACATTAAATGAAAGTTTTTGAAATAGAAAATTATCATTAATGATGTTTTGCCTTCTTAAAAATATGGTTTGCGGAATTTTAAAATTATGCTAAATATCGTTGCAACAAACATAAAGTTTGTGATTCCCTAAAAAAATTAATATCCAAGTTAATTGCACAAATCTGCTCGAATTTGAACAAAGGTATGATCAAGTGATTTTTTTATGATTAACTTATGGAAGTGTTCATGGTGAATATAGAAAAATTACGAATTGGGATATTATTAACGAAAAAACTTATAAACTCAAATATGTCTTAGGAGACCATGTTTTGGTATTTTGGCATAGCTTCCAATTGTAAACAATTTCTCTGATTATCATTTCGCTGAATTTTCTGAAATAAGGGTACTTCACTCTTGACCAATTTTTATATTTTTTGACCTACCCTGTATGCTGTTTGGCTTGCAACCATTTCAAGTGCACCTGAAATGATCACGGAACATGCACCAACTTTCGGCACTATCTGGATTTTGGTTTTGCAATTCATTAAAAAAATTTCCATATGTTGCACACTTATGTGACCACACTGTATATATATGTTGATTTCTGAAACTATCTCTTCGAAAACTGACGAGGAAATTGAGCTAAGCAAATTGGAATAAGATATATACCAAAAAGAATACTTATTTTCATTGGGATCGATGGTGCAGAAAGGAAAGTTTTCCGCGGCGGCAGAACTCTTGGTGAGGACGTTGAAAAACGTGGATTTTCCCACGTTCGGAACTCCTACGATGCCGACCTTCAAGTTGGTTCCCACTCGACCAATCAACGGCTTGCGTTCGGGCTCAGTTACTTTTTTTGGTGGCATCCTGAAAAAATTGGAAAACAACTACCGTAGAATAGGGTCAATGGAAACAGTTTTCGACCTTCCAGACTGGGTTGTTGAGTTGATATTCACATTATTGATGAAGAAAAATATGGGAAATTTTTGTCACGGTCAGTAGTAGAGAATTAATGTTGTATTTCGTGCAAGATAATTTATTAAAATTTATTACTCGAAGCAGAGCGCTTTCGACTTTCAAGTCATCATTAGTGCATACCTGTTAGTAAGTAGTCTGCTTTCAGCTATTGGAAAATATTGGAAAATTTAAGAAAAAATTGTTTGAAATTTGTTTCTTGAAAAACTTTTTTTTAATTCAATTAAAACTCGAATTAATACAATGTTTTGTTTGAAAAAAGTTGAATTGAAGTTGTGACTTGTTACTTGGAACGAAATTGGAACATAAAGAAACCACTCCAACTCTGGAATATGAAAAGAAAAGGAAGAAACCATTGGTGTTCTCAGTGTTATGGAAAACTGCTTGGAAAGATAGTGCACAAATTGCTGATTTGGATATCTAATTGATTCATCATAGAGAAAATGGAGTTTTTGATAATTCTGTGAAAAAATATTATGAGTGGATCAATCATTAGGCCTTCTATGAAGTGGAATATATGATCTGTTCAAATTAACCTGAGTTTTAAAACAATAGTCAAAGTTGTTTTTGTAATTATTTGTCAATATGTAAGTCTTCAAGAAAATCTAATCTATTGAAATTTCTTGAACTGGTTTCATGTAAAATTTTTGAATTTTTATTGGGACTGACTGATTAAGTTTTTTCCAAATGCAGATTTTTTCTTACTATTCAAATAGACAGCTTCACAATCTTCAGGCGAGGTAAATATAGTGATTGATTCAGCACATTTTTCGCTTGTGAACCATCTGAGAGGTGAATAGAAACAAGTTTATTGAATAATTAAATTTTTAGACAGCTCAAAATTTGCAAAAATAAGAAATATACCATAATAATGGGGTGAATAGAAACAGCAGGTCAATTGAAACAGCAAGCACACAAAAAAAGAGATGTTAATTGTTTAAGAAATATACGTGATGGAAACTATACTTGATGCATTAGAATTTTGAAAGCAATTATGTTAATAAGACATATTGTGGTATGTCTGGAACAATTTTCTAGATTATATCTTGATTTCTTTCCACCTTAGTACATAAACTTTATTCAGCAATGCACAGGTGTCACGAACATAATTATGCTCGACTAAAATAACGGAAAAACAGTGTTGCCAATAGAAAAACAGTAAATTTCGATGAATTTATGTTGTCACATATGCAATGCGTAAACAAGATAGGATTTGAAGTCTCTAGAATTGAATTAGAGAAATTTGAGATTTTTTTCAAAAAATGCTTGTTTTTATTCGCCCCCAAGTTTCCATTCACCCCGTACAAGAAGGGGGTTGTGTAAATATAATGCAATATATATTCAGTGACATCTCGTTCCTCTGATGGTATTTGATGATATGTTTATCTCACAATATTTTGTCGGTTCAGGCCCCCTCTCTTCGAAATTTCGAAAGAAACTCATAACGCTTTCAAAGTACACGTGCATGAGAGTTTTTATCAATAAATGTGTTCCTCTGATGGTACTTATATCAGTTTTGGATTGATAATACCACCGGCGTTCCTCCTAATGGTCTGCATAATTTTATAACAGCAATTTCCATCATTGCTATCAAAGAGATAGCAGCTTTTTTCAATTTCATTGGAACCTGCTGTGAGATGTTCACTTTGATAAGAAATATTTTCAGAATAATTATTTTTGGAATATTTTGCCAAATGCTTAACATCGACTGAGAAGGGAGTCAGTATCGTTACATAATATTGAACACTTATTGTAAGAAATTCACATCAGAAATCAATATTATACACTGTGTCCATAAAGTCACCCCCCCCCCCTGGTTGACTATTGAACGGATAGGATTTTTTTTTTCAATTTTTTTTTGCTTCGATGGTAGTTTCAGTGCTACATATTTTTCTAAAAAAAAAATATGTATCCTCCAAAATGGCGCCTGGGCGCCATTTTGTAAGATTTTTTTAAATGGAGTGGGGGGTCGAATGATACCTCGATTGAAAGGTCTTTCGATTCTCTATACAACCTCAGAATCTCAGACGAAAATATTCATCCAAAACAAAATGGCGGATGATAACGTTTGAAATCTCACACCAGAATTCTTTCGACTAGATGGCTATTAAAGTGCTCGCATGTGATCTTTAAATCTCTATTGGCGTATAGAAGAGTTCTCTATCATGAAAATCTGAAAGGAGTTCGATACCTGCTGAGGATGCTGCAAGAAGATATTCATCCAGAGATAGTAGAGGTCGCTGGAAATAATATGCAGAATATTTTTTTTCAACAAGATGGAGCGCCTTCTCATTTCTATGGGCCAGTAACATCATTTCTTAATGAAAATTTTCCTGAAAGATGGATCGGTAGGATGGGTCCTATTGAATGGCCAGCTCGCTCACCTGATTTGACCCCTTTAGATTTTTTTTATGGGGTCATCTCAAATCTCAAGTGTACAGAACACCAGTAACGATAGATGAATTGGAGCAACGCATAACAGATGCATGTAGAATTACTACGCCTGAAATTTTTGGAAATGTAAGACGTGAATTCCAAAATCGCCTCTTCATGTGTCAAGAAGTGAATGGTGGACATTTCGAACATTTGATTTGATTTTTATTTATTAACGTGGAATAAACATTGTTCTTTATGTTGAATAAATATTTCTGAAATTTTGCAGAATTTGGAAAGACAATCCAGCAAAGGTAATAATTGACTACCATAGTATTCTCTTCAAAATGGCTTCCTATTGATATCTTCATAGATAGAGAACTCTTCTAATACGCCAATAGAGATTTGAAGATCACATGCGAGCACTTCAATAGCCATCTAGTCGAATGAATTCTGGTGTGAAATTTCAAACGTTATCATCCGCCATTTTGTTTTGGATGAATATTTTCGTCTGAGATTCTGAGGTTGTATAGAGAATCGAAAGACCTTTCAATCGAGGTATCAGTCGACCCCCCACTCCATTTAAAAAATCTTCCAAAATGGCGCCCAGGCGCCATTTTGGAGGATACATATTTTTTTTTCAGAAAAATATGTAGCACTGAAACTACCATCGAAGCAAAAAAAAATTGAAAAAAAAAATCCTATCCGTTCAATAGTTAACCAAGGGGGGGGTATATCGGCATTGTTATCTCACTTCTAGAAATCATCCAAGCATTCTTATACTTATATGAATGATATTTGCTCGTACAAATATTCTCTTACTGGGTTTTATGAATTGGATACAATTTTCAAATGATGATGATGTATATCACAACACGAACTCGACGTAAAACACTTAGAATGAAGCATTTTCCCGCCTATGTTCATCATTGACAATGTCGGCTTCTAATAGTAAAAGAATTTTTCAGATCGGTACAATAGTTTCGGGCCCTTTCAATATAAACAAACAAACTGACAAACAAACAAAACAATTTTTCCTCTTTATAATATTACTATAGAATAACTAACATGAAAGTTGTTCCAAATAATCTTTAAATGGTTTGAAATGCAATTAAAAATCCATTGAAGATTACGATTATACGATTACAGTGTAACGTTTTTAAACGCAGTGACATTTTGAGCCAGAAAATGCTTCGTTTGCGAGTTACAAACTACCTACCTGTGACTCTTTGGTGGCAGCTTTATTCGAAGATTTTTCTTCGTGTTCATAAATTAATACAATGCGATTACATGTGTAGATGACGCCAGACCATTTTTATTTTCCAAATGGAATCCAGAGAAGTGCTGATGCATGGTATTTTGATTTTTTCTCGAAAACGAAGCTAGACAATGAAAAAAGTCGGGAGACAAGAATGTTGTATTTTCAATGGAAGCTTTTTCATACTATCAATTTATATCTTGCTGAGCGAAATATAGTATAAGTAGTAATACAATATAGTTTTTTGTCACTTCAACTCTGAAACATTCTGTATATTGAAATAATACCCATATTCTCATTCATAGAAACAGGGAGAGAAAATCCTAAATGATTCAGAAAAATTAATTTATTATCTAGCGTTTGAAAAAATGTCAGCTTTGAAGTTCAAAAATGTATTTTCCTACGAGCGTGCGCAAAGTAGTACTTTTCCGCACTCATTTGCGTGCGCAAAGTAATACTTTTCCGCACTCAGTGCGGATATGGGTGTTATCCGCACGCGTAAAACTAACCAAAATTCTCACTGGTATGGAACATTTATATTCATTTTAGTTGCTGTATGCACTATAAGAAGCCGTTATCCCTTTAATTTCAACCGTTCTTCCCGATATTTGTATTTCACCGCAATATAAATATCATAAAGGAACAAATGATTTAATTTTTTATCATTATATTTTATTGATATGTAATTGTTTGTTGTTTAGCTATTTCTATCAAGTTTAACTAAAAATTATTCAATAAATTATAATTGAAATTTTTTCATTTTCGTTATGATCTGATACGAAGCTCATAAGGAAAATGTGATTTTCTAACACGTGCGCAAAGTGTCTTTTCCGCACGCAAAAACTTATTTGAACTCCTCTCCGCGTCGTTCGCCTAACTGTATTTGCGTGCGGTAAAGTAACCCTTTGCGCACTTGTTAGGAAAATAGCTATATTACATTCAAGACATACCTACCTACCCAAGAAATGCAACGTCATAAGTCGATATACTTCGGTTGATAGATATTGTTACAAATACTGTAGAGGATATCAAACGACTGCGATAAATGCAAATTCATAAACAAATTGCTCAGATCCACGGTTTTTACAAATTTGCCTCAGCGTGCATTTTATCATCATAATATTCAAATTTCAAGTTTGATTCGCGTTCCATTCGTCTAATAACACACATTACCTCCTGCAACTTAATTTCCACAAAATAGCAATTTTCAATCTGATACCAAAATTGTAACGTGCAGATTTTTTTTCTTAGTGCTTGGGCTATTCTGAAAACGCACCTAATAACAAGTTGAGATGAAACAAAACCTACAATTTTGAATTTACCGTCAATTGCTGTTCGATATTAATATAATTTTACATACAACGGCCTTTGGGCATAAAAGGTTCAGCTGGTTCAGGCCAATCATTTTGAATTTCTCTACATTCAATCAATTTAATTTACTCTCTTGTACCAGGCTATGGTTGAATCTGAATGAGAAAGAAAATCTGCCGTTGCGACAGTCGTACGGCTATTCGTTAAGAGATGGCGCCACAAGTTTCAAAATGTGATATTTTGGTAACCATTTATGGTTATGATTGTTATTTCACCCAAACTAATCCAAATCATGGTCACACAAGTACTAAAATGATCACACTGATGTTCAATCTCGATATGAATAACTTAACAGTCTATTATTCAGCCGAAAGTGATGAAATAAGCACTAATGATTTCATAACCTATAAACCGTATGGAGCTATTTTCTGTGTTTATACTGGAAGGGATATCTACTTGAATAGGCTAGTCATCGCAAACCATAACAGCAGCATTCGGTACGTACCTTAAATCTGGTTTATCGGGTTTTTATTGCAAAAATAAACACTTGGAACGTGGATTCCAAAACTTCACACTTCACACCGGGTACATAAAAATGACAGAGAACAGAGGAAGAGGTGGACACTGGGACCGGACAGATGTATTACAGAAATCTGTAATGAATCTATCATTGGAATGGAGAAACTCTCATAGTCCGGGAAGTTTGTAATTGAATTGGGTGGCGTTGAAAAAAATCAATCAATTTAAACCAGCTATAGAAGCTAGTCAACAAGAAATCACAAAGAACAAATGTTCAGTGGTCGAAAATTCGTTTTTATTCTTGAGAAGTCTATGAATAGTGACTGACACACAAACACGCCAAAAAAGTTAGTACCTAAAAGTAGGATATGTTTAGTATTGAAATGAAAATTGAAATGTATAGAAGATATACTCAGTGTATAAACCGCCAAATTGTGATCTAACTGAATTTTTACCAGATTTTGAAGAAATAATCAGCAACGAAAAGTCAAGATGTATATTTGTGGGTGACTTTAATATTGATTTACTGAAGGACTCTCAAAAAGTCCAACAATACCGAAATAGTATCTCTCTGTTCGGGTACAAAATTGCAAATAATATCTCTGAAGACTGTGCAACTACCAACTAAAACCATAATCGATCATGTACTTGTTAATAAACTAGAATGCAGCATAAAGATAAAACCATGTTCATACTCTGATCATAATCTAATAGAAATCACTATCCTAGAAAAACTCAAGATTCATCGACCAAAAACAGACATAAAAATTGTGAAACTGAATGAAAATAACTATATAAAAAATTTCTCGGTAATATCCCAAGATATTGTAATAGATTCATTTGAAAAACTCATAAATGTTATAAAAAAAGCAAAGGGTATGGCATCAAAGACATATTTAATGTCAGGGCAAAAGAAGGAAATGATTGGTTAACCTATGAGTACATAAATATGATAAAAGAACGGGACAAACTATAAAAACTAAAAAAAAAATATCCAGATAATGAAAATATTGAAGGCGAATTTAAAAAAATGAAAAATGAGGTAAACAGCAAAAAACGGAAACTAAAAAAAGATTATTTTAATAAAAATTGGAATGAAGCAGGAAACAACTCAAAAAAACAATGGAAATTCATTAACACACTAGTAAAGAATAAAAATGGTAAAAAAGTTGAAGAGATATCATTAGAAATAAATGGAGAAGCAGTTACAGATCAAAAAAAAATTGTAAACACATTCAATAGCTATTTTGTTAAAGTAGGTAAAGACATAGTTGAAAGTATAGAAAGGGAAGGAAACACAAACAATTTGAATTTTGAAGAGGTGTATTGTAACCAAAGTATATACCTAGAACACACGGATGAAAAAGAAGTACTGGAGGTGATGACAGAAATGAACCTAAATTCAGCAGTTGGCATTGACGAAATAAGTGTAAAAAACCTTATTTCTATTAAGCAAATCGTACTACCAATATTAGTATTTTTAATAAATAAAACTTTTGACAGCGGTAAATATCCAGATGTTTTAAAAGTCTCTAGAGTAGTACCAATCCACAAATCAGGCCCAAAAAACAAAATAGAAAACTATAGACCCATTAGTGTTATAAGTGTCTTATCAAAAATAATTGAAATGATCATCAAAAAAAGAATAACATGTTTCATTGATGAATATATAAAGCCAGACAAATACCAATACGGATTTCAACCCAAAAGTAACACTCAAAGTGCCTCAATTGACTTAATCAATCACATAACAACAGAACTTGACAATAAAAAAATAATAATAACAGTATTTATTGATCTCCAAAAGGCCTTTGATGTTGTAGACCACAGGATACTTTTAAGTAAATGTGAAATAATGGGCTTAAGAGGTAAAATATATGATCTTCTAAACAGTTATCTAGGGAATAGAGAACAATATATCTCGCTAGATAACATATCTAGTGAAATGCTAACAAATAATTGTGGAGTACCTCAAGGTTCTGTTCTGGGACCCTTATTGTACACACTTCATGTTCTAAGCTTAAGGCAGGCACAACTATCTGGAAAATACTATACATTTGCAGATGATACAGTATTGGTATATAGTGGTACAAACACTGAAATTTTAAAGGAGACAGTAAATAACGATTTGAATACCTATACACAATGGTTAAAGAAAAATAAACTCAAAATCAATACTAAAAAAACGAAGTACATGTTGTTCCACCAAAAAAATATACTAGTCAAAGAGATTACTATAAACATAAATGGAGAATTGATTAACAAAACTGACAACATGAAATACCTAGGCCTCGTAATAGATGATAAATTGAACTGGCAAAAACATATCGACCACCTCACATCCAAAATTGTGCCGATGATTGGTGCGCTCTTCAGATGTAAGGAATATCTGGACAACCGAAATCGTTTCCTAATTTATGATGCCTACTTCCTCTCAAACCTTATAGATACCTAATTATAATCTGGGGAATATGCTCCATCACTAAATTAAAACAAATTCAAATAATTCAAAACAAAATAATAAAAATACTTTTCAACTATCAATATCGTACACCAACAGAAACTATTTACAAAGAAACAAAAATAGTACCTATTAAGAAAATTCTGAAAATGGAGCAAAGCAAGTATATATATAAAGTAAAAACAAACCAACAAAAAAGTAACACTCCATTCAATTATATAAATAATATTCACCACTATGAAACAAGACAGCTGATTAACAATAACCTCTATTTACCAAACGTAAGATCCAACATAGCCTTAAATAATCCAATTAACCGAAGTGTAGAAACATACAATAACATCCCTATAAACATAAGGAATATAGACAATTACAAACATTTCAACGAAGAACTTAAAAGATATATCCTAGATAACCAATGAATTTAATCAACAGAATTTACTTACCACAATACCGCATTTAAAGAAAACTGTACTCCGATACCAGCATTCTCTTTGCTGATTAGGAGTTCTTCATCACCCCTATTATAGATGTATGTACTATTTCAAACTGTGAAAATTGTATTATAATACTATCAAACACTGAGCTACTGTTATATTGTAACTTGTATTTATTTTGGATTGTAAAATTTGTATTTCTTGATTTTTTTGTACTTTATGTATATTGTAGTGTAATGAAGAGAAAAAAAAAATAAGAAGTAGGTACTTTCAAAAAAAAAAAAAAAAAAAAAAAAAAAAAAAAAAAAAAAAAAAAAAAAAAAAAAAAAAAAAAAAAAAGTATACTTGTATGAACTCTGATCTCGATGAGCTTAGAACTTCAAAAAAAAAATCAGAAGTTATATTTTTATATCATAATACATCATATTATTCTCTTCGATTTGAGAGATGATGTTAATTCTCAATTCCAGAGGATTTTGATCTTTCATGCTCTGTTTTTGAATATTCAACAGATATAATTCAATGTTAGACGTGGCAAATAGCCAGGAAAGTATTTGTTTCCTGTTGAATATTCAGAATTATATTATATGCATATCTTTTTATGAAGGAGAATAGAAATTCTATACTTCAGAAGATTTTGTTTTCAAATTCTCATCGTGTATGTTCAATATTCGTCGTGGCATATAGCCAGGAAAGTAGTTGTTTTCTGTTGAATGAACCGTGATGAAAGAATTGATATTTCCATCACATGGAGAATGCGAATTCTCAATGTATTTCTTTATATATATATCCATTTTTTTGTGTTCATAAATATATCTGAGAATGTTCCTTTTCAATACTTTCACCCAATCAAGGGGTTCAAACTTGAACCTATACCTCGTATAAGCCTCATGAGGACTTACTGTATTCATCTTTATTAGTATGAAAAACATCATATCGAATTTATGTCAATTATGCAGTCTCTTTCATATTTCCTCGTATAAACCTCATGAAAAGTTACTGTATTTATACATTTCACAAATTTCGACAATGACCGACACTATATTTCTTTTCCGGAACATAGCGATTTTCATCACGTTTGAACATATCCTTCTTCATCCCGGGACAATATGGACATATTTTTTATCGCACCTTGTATATCCATCGTCAAGAATAAATATGAATTTTATATTTCTGGAACTAAAATCGTTATTTTTTCTATTTTATAATTTATATTAACGAAAATGCATCATTCCGATTAAAAATGCGTACTTTCATTATATGACCTTCGATCCATGAAATTACAAAACCATTTCGAGGTCAGACACCAGACATCCTCATGACGAAGTAACACTCCATTATTCCACTAGTAACACAGAGAAAATCATGTTTCATCTACTGAAGACTACTTTATTCTCCATTCCATCATTCAGTATTTCTTGTAGGTATCACTTTGTATAGACTTTTTCAGAATTTTTGTGTGTTCGAACACGATCACATATCCGACGACTATACATACAACGTTGATTCTTCAGAGAAGAATTCCAACTCTCAATTTCATTCAATTAATCGTCGAAAAAATGCATCATTCTGAATGAATATTCACCACACGATTATCAAAGCTCTGAATTCGAAAATTCCGAAAACTTTTCGAGAGAAAGCATCAATCAAGAGGATACAGGAGAGACAAAAAAAAAATAAAAGAATTATCTGTTCAAACGGTGAGGTGACGACCACGATGCAATTTCACACCCATTCAATTATCACCCTGTAGCAATGTTATCTGGAATTACAGGAGTTACACCACAACAAACTGTCAAGACATTAGGCTAATCATCGGTGAAACCTGATTCCAAATTGGTGGAGAAATTCGTGAGTTATTCTACTTTGAATTCAGGCTATATTTTGGAGCACGACGTTATCAATGTTGACCAGTTTATCATGAGATTTTCTATGACATAAATGTGATAAGAATTTATTGAAACAACTTTTTGACCAAAAAAAATTGCAGCAATCACATTTTTTTATTGAAATCTTCCCCTCTAAATCCTATCTTTAATATTTAGAGAAACTATTTTCACATGTTTCATGCAATCTTCATGTAATTGAAGTGTGAATTTCACTAAATAGCCCAAAATTGTACATAGTAATTAAAAAAAAATTAGTAAACCGGGTGGCTACGGAAGTATTGCCTACGGAATATCTCAGTTATTGTATGAAGTAGGTTCGTGAAATTTG